CACCAGCCATACTTCTTTTTGCTGCAATGCAACGTGCCAGAGAGGTAGAGAATCATGCCAAACAAAATACATCAAGAAGCAGGGAGATCAAGATGCCTCAGAAGAAGCAGCAACCCATCCTGGAAAAATGTTATAAGCATTGTCAAGCAGGAGTCAAATCCACCATTCCAGCACTAGCGGCAACTGTTTGCAACACCAACCGCCGAATTGAAATACAGACCATATATATCCAGCTGCCAGACATGCAACCTAGCAAGATCTGCCTGCCAATGCTGTGAGCACCAACCAAATGTACAAGCCGTAGCGCACATGACCAGATCTGCCCAGAGCATGGCACCACTGCATGGCCACCCACAGTAGCTTTAGCACGCAGATACCCGATCATTCACCACTAGCATAAGCCCGAGAAGTGAAGGCGGACATAGGCACATGGCCTATATGTATGAATTCCAGAAAAGTTAACCCACATGACATAATTGTATAATAAGGAGCTTGCACATCCATACCAGGATCCATAACGGCGGATCGGGGGCCCATCCACCACAGCATGCACACCAACCTGCATTCTTGCCCAAGCCCTCCAGCCAAGCGATCATGCCTCTACAAATTGTACAAAGGCCACCCACCCCCCAACCACGAAGGAATGGAAATGAGATGCAATTAATTCAAAAAAGGAGAAGGGACTTGAACACCAGACATTCATAGCGTATGTGTGCTTGCTCCAGAACTAAATATCGAAACCCTCGATTTTGCTACATAATAATTCACGAATGCTCTCATATCCACAAAAAACACCTCTCAAAAATATGCGGCCCTCATTCCGAAGAACACGGACCATATTGCTTCGACGACGACTATTATTTTCTTCTTCGGATAAGGATGATTAACAAAAAACGGGGATTATTAACAAGCAACGAGGATAAACCCGAGACACGGAGAGGGATAAACCCCAGGCATCGGGCAAAACCCCCTGGTAAGGGCAAAATATCACGTTTCTACGACCCCCCAATTTTGATCCAATTCTAATTAAAATCTATTATATTTGTTACCCTTTTGCCCCGAAACACGGGAAGGACACCATTTGGAGACAAAGATCATCTTCCAAAGATAAATTTCATTCGACCATTTGGTCACCCGCAAAACGACGTTGAATGCAATTTTTGGATCATTTTTTGTTCAGAATTAAATTGGTAAAAATTATAGATAAAAATAATGGCGCATCGGAATGAACAACTTCCGATCGATCCATAAAGATTAGGCAATAATATATAAGATTTGGCCCACTAAAAGATATTCCTTTTATTTCAATTATTTAATATTCAATCCCCGAATTGCATTAAGAATATTAAAATCATTAAATTCCTTTTCGTATCGTTTTGTTTAAAACCATCTATCAAACAACCGATTTTATTCTTCGATCAAATCTATATATCGATATAAATCGAGCCAATATTTAGAAATATTACGATTTTATTCTCTTATTATTATTGTCCTATTGTAATATAATATTCGATCAATATATATACGATATAAAAAATGGGAATTGATCTAATTTCCTTTATCCCGGATCCGTCAATTTCGCAAAAAAAAATTATTTTAGCCAAATTTTCGCCTTCCTACGCTTTATCTTTCGCCGAAGTACGTTGTATTTATGTATGCCATGTATGTTGTATTTTGTTCACGTCAATGGCTTCTTCTTTATTGGCAAACAAAAAATAGAAATTTCATTGTTTATCAGCATATATTTTCTACTTAATTGTTGACATCCTGTATATCTCTTTTGTTTCTGTTGGGTGTCAACAAGAATCAAAATTGCAAGAATTATTGTAAGCCGGTCACTCAAATTTACTAAGAATACGCTGGGGGTCAGATGTGGCAGGATGAGCTTTCGCCGATCTTAAGCTGAATTTTCGCGTTTTGCGGGGTAGAATTTTTTGGCAAAGCCACCCCCCCCAAAGCAGGAGCAAGAATAGTAGTGGTAGTGGTAATGGTAATAATAATCGTAATCGTAGTAATAATAATAATAATAGCAATAATAATAATAGCCGCAATAGCAGATTATTTTACTTCCACAATTCATTTAATTTTAAAATCATTAACATTAGCCATTCAAGAAATAAATAAACATTCGTATCAAAAATATATATATAATCTTTCGCCAGAGAAAAATTCAAAATATTCCGAATCATCGTCATACACAATATTATTTAAAACCTTTAAATCGATAACCAAATATCAATTCTAAATACAAATTAATCAAAATACAATAATGTAAAATCATTTATCATTTATATATTGTAATATTTTACAAAACTAATATCAATTTCATATATCAATTCTTTATATATATAATATTTATAAATTATTTATATATCAAGATAAAGATTTAATAATATATAATTCAATTAAAAAAATACATATTAAAATAATAAAACAAATTCAATACACATTATATAATTATATGTATTAGATTTTAAAGAAATTAAAAATATATAATAATAATTCCCTATTAAATCAATATTCCTAATACCATATTAAATAAAAAATCTTTTAACAAATATATCTAAATACCAAATTATTTATAAATATCCTATTTCTTTTTTATCTTTCCATACCATTATCGTCTTTAGCACAATATTTTAAATTTAATTTTAATGAAAATACACCAAATTCTATTTATTACATAATTTTGCTTTAATTGGTTTTAAAACTAAATCCCATATCATTACAATTCATCATATATATCAAATATATATTCTCTTTACAACAAGAAAACCAATTCCTCCATAAAAAATCAGACCCCCATCCCCCCAAAAAGGGATATCATAAAACGGTTTATGGCGTACGTTAATCATCCTGATTTCATAGGCATTCTTAATACAAATATTTAGGAAGTAATATTTAGATATGATATATTTATATATTAAATTCATCATAATTTATCTAATAAATAAATTCCAATCCATCTTCCTGTTATTTTAATCTTTGATTTCATTCGTTGGCAGGCTTCTTGTTGGATGGGTACAGGGCGCAAGACGGATTCCGGTATCGGCTCCTTAGTGACATCTTTCTCAAAAGAATCAACCAACGTTTGGGATTTGCTTCTGATTTGCGAAGGATTCTTTTGACTCTCTATTTGCATATTTGGGATTACCAATCATTAAAGCAATAAACGCCTGACTTGTCAAGCTAGACCTCTGGCAAATCCTGGATTATTTCCCCATCAAACAAAACACTACATCCAACAATGCAAAACACACACTTTTCGCATCTTTTCACCTTTGCTTCCCCAAATGGAAGGTGCGCATCTACTTTTCGCATAGAGACCGTGCATGATACATTCTGTATAGAGATGCAAGTTTTGCAGGTCAATTAGATTCAAAGCGGCAAATAACATCAAATAACAAATCATGACATATTTTGTAGAATGTTTCATTTTTGAAGAGCTCGCGCATGCGACTTTGTGGTGGCAACAGGTACGTTCATCTTTCTTCTCCATTCTTCACCCAACTTCCCCTTGCCAAATAATGCAAAGCTTTCTACAAAATGCTTTCCGGCATGCGCAAACCCACCTTAAATAGGAATGCCCACAGCTGTCTACAGAATCAACTTTTTGTGGGGTGCACTCAGATTTCCTCCAAACCTCAAAAAGCAGGACAAGTCTTGCTATAAACAAATACCATCAAATACCTTGTTCCTGTGGTCCGCGTCCCGTAGAGAAAACGTGCAGGAGGATTGTTTTTGAACATACTGACGAATTTGACTGTATCTCTACAGATCTTGGGAGAACTGTGTCCGTTCTCGCATTTCGGATTTTCGCCGCGCTCAATGCAGTGCCATGCATCGCCACTTCGCCGCAGCAGCTCATCGCAGCCGCGGAGTGCTTCACTCCGGCGCCCTGGTGTGGCGGAGCTGTAAAGCCACCGCATATGAAACGACCAAAAAACACAGAAAACCTGGCCTCCTAAGGAACCGAATAGCGATGGCCTCCATACTAATAGCGATGGCCACTTTTGACATCTTTTGACTATTGGTGGGGCATCACAAGCAAACTCGCGATTTCCCCCCAAGCCCACTTGTGCGCGCACTGGTGCGTGAGCGTCGACCTAAACCTGGGGCAAACATGCCCAGGCACTCGCCAAGTACAGTGATCCCACTAAACCTGCCGAGATGCGCTCCAGTCTTCTGGCCAGCTCAGTTGGCAAGCCACACAGCTCCTAGCATCTGAACTGTCGCCCGACTCACTGTCATGCACAACTGGCCATCCGGGCCATCCGGGCAGCACTTGGGCGTTCATCCTCAAATTGTGGGTATTGACATGGTCGCTCACATGGTCTATTGAAAAACTGTTAAAATGACACATGCAACTGGAAACGAACACATCTTCCTCTCCCTGGCCCATGTCCCACTTCATGTGGCCTTCCCCACCTCCAACGCAAGAAGCAGTTTCCATCTCCAACCCCCTTCTGCAGAATTCCACTGCAAGTCATTGTACACACCATTGCGCCCAACTTTCCACTCCTCCCAGAATTCCACTTCATCCTCCGCCACTTCTCCCTCTTGCGGCATTGCACCGGCGCTGCTCCCGCTGCTACCGGTCGACCGGTTCCCGGCCCCCAGGAAGGCGCCCAGGCGGCGCAGGGCGGCAGGGCCCTGCGCCACCGATGATGTGAGGTGTGCAAAAATTAACATATTGAGCGGCTGAGCAGCAAGGTTTGATGACTTATTGTTGAAACCCTTTCAACTTTATTTACAGGCAAACTGGATGCACCCTTGCCTTCTTTGGTGGGTTGGTTAATGCGGGTTGACTCAAACATCGTGCCCACGGGATCTCCAAACAGGACCTCAGCCCGGAGGGTGTCCAAGTGAACCACCTTGATGCGCTCGCGTGCCACTCCTGGATCTGGCGTGCTCTTGGAAAGGGATGGATCGGACTGATCAATCGCAAGCACAAGTGCGGGAGACAACATCCTGCATGGTGGAGTGCTAGGATCCAGCAAATGAAGGAGTCCAAGGGTAGGGATTCCGATCTCCTCGGCTAGATCGGACCTATTTGAAGGGCTCTCATATGGGATACTCTCTGAGGGGATGTGCGATGTTTACTTTTTTGGGGGGGCTTGTTGCATGCAGCCCAAGTAATGTACTACATTTTGGGCCACATCTGTGTCTTTGATGATTCTTTATGCGCTAAGAGACCAAGTGCACGAAGCTAAGGCTTTTGAGACTTGAGAAGACCTACCGAATCATGACCTGCGCTCTTCCTCGGCTCCTGTCCTTTCTGCTCCAAATCCCTCACTTTCTCAAAAAGGTGGGCTTCATCGAAGGCGAAGCTGCAGTCGTTGCCCTCTTCACCAATCCTGCATGTATTAGACGTATCAATGGAAGACTTCGGATGAACGTACCACACAATTGACAACGGTAAAAAATAGCCAGAGTAAATTTCGCAAATTCACGGATTCTTCTAGAGCAATCATGATATTTTCCTTGGAACATCTTGGAACAAACGAATAAACTACTCCAAAAAGCATCGGCCCTGACACACCTTTGATTCTGCGGCCTAAGAAATCGAACTCCAGGCTTGCCTGGCCAAGTTCCTTGGGAAGCAAGGCGTTGGGCGGATGAAGAGGGCTGCGCTCTTCAGCCAGTCCACCCAATTCCTCAGGACGAGAGCACGTCCACCCAGTGAGTCCTGCGGTCCAAACAGGAACCACTTAGCGGCCTTTGTGTTAGCGGCTCTGTTTGAAGCAATGCAATCAGAGGGAAACCAGTGGCCCAGGAACGGCCTGCCACATCTCAATGCGCCGCCACATGGTTGCCAAGGAGCTTGAAAATAATCAGCACCTCACAGGATGCATCAGCCTAAAGATTCCCACCTCACCAACTGCTCAGCTAACTTCAATGCCCCCGGAACCGGCCTGGAACTATCCGAAACTATACAAAAACAATATACCAAAGTCCGTGAACCGTGAGAAACTTTTCTTTTCTTGCCACACCCCCGGCCCAAAAGCGGAAAAACACTATGAACATGCCCACCTTCGTTCTCTTCATCTCCGCCATGATCTGCCTCCCCCTGCTGGAGCGCAACAGGTTCGGCTCCTTAATGCCCACCAATGGCGTCCGTCGCCCGCGGACCGGACCCGCGGAACCAGCACGCGCAGCACTCGGCAGCTCGTCGCGGCGGATGAGGTGCTCCAGGTGGCTCCGGCGGAAGAGGTAGTCGAAGGAACCCTCACGGAAATGGTCCTCTGGGTCGCTCAGGAGCTCCAAGTTGGGATGGCTATCCTAACAAGAAGTTGCACTGAGAAACTGGTGATCTTATGACTTATGACCCGTGACACACATTGACACACCAATTCTTCAACTTCGCAATGCACCAAGGCTCCAACCAGGCGGCCAGGCTGGTGGTCCCACTCCGTCCCAAGCCAATGATGGCCCAACCGATCTCCAGCTCATTCCGGTGCATCAGCTCTGCTGAACGGACGCTGTCTGCATCGATGGCCACGCCCGGGTAGGCGGTGGCCATACGAAGGCCCAAACGCCACGCCACGATGGTGGAGACTGCGGAGCTGTAGGTGGTATGGAGTGACGGGATGCACATGCCCAACCTTATGGTGGAGACTGCGCACCTCACGTGCCTTTTGTTCCTCATGGCTCCAACTGGGGAAGGTAGATGAAGCTAGACTACTCGACGAACGGTTCTCGGGGGAGGTGCTCATGAACCGAGGGGCCAAACACGGGTGATTGGGTTGGTTCTTCTTTTGGCGGTCACTACTATGAAACGTTGGAAGGAAATGCTTCTGACGAACTGACCCAGGTTTCTCTTCTGGTGTTGGATTGTCTCTAATGGAAACTGAAGCAATGGTATGCACAAACAAATCAATGTCACCCCTTCTGATGAGACTGGTAAGGCAAAAAAGGCTTGAACAATGTTAGACAATTAATGAACAAGTGCACCTCTGTTGCCACGGCGCGCGTAGCCTGCGCCAGCTGGGTCTTCCTCCCCCACAGCATTGAAGTAAACCCCGACATAGCTGCCACCTCCCTCCTTGCAAGTACTGTAGTGCCCCAAAGCAGCCTGCACCGTGAAGAAATCATGTGTTCCATACATTTTCCATGCGTTTTCAACGATGTTTAGTCTGTCTTGGTTCCAACCAGTGGCCCCCAGTGACCAAGTTCGACAAAAGCACCTCTGCTCCACCTGATGGGACCAATTCCTCCTTTTCGGATCATGGTGGATCCACCGTTTGCGCTGTAGCAGGGTCCAGTTGCAAAGGTGTCGTTCATCGGGAATATCGTGCAACTTGATTAAATATGATCAAATCAATTCATCGAATACAGCAAGGACATCAAGCGGCTTTCCGGTCCGTTGTTGAAGCATGTGCATGTTTATGTTTTGTAAGGCTTGGGTCGATCCATGCTGATGCCCTGAAGTATGAAAACGTGTGAGTCGAAGCACTATAGGCAGGGTTTAGGTTAGTTCCGTGGAATCGGTGGAAGTGTCACCATGGACAGCACCAAAGAGAAGCAGGGTGTACAACACTCAGTGATCCAACATGCCTTCTGGTGCTCGGCGAACTCTGAGCTTTCACCCAAACTGTCTTTGGGCAAGCTTCCTCAGCACATCGGCAAAGCACAAACATTTTATATAACATCGGCAAGCTACCTCATCAGTGACAATCCAGGGATGCCTTGAAATAGGATGCCACCAAACTATTCTATTGGTCTTTCTCCGCAGCCGTGCCAGATCCAAACTTTCAAGCACATTTATCTATTTACAGTATACCCCGTCGAGTGGTGTTCTGGTGCTGTGGATTGACCAAAGTGCACCACACCTCAGCTTCACAAGCCTCCAGCATCCTTCAAGTGATCCAAGTGAAGCATGGTTCCTCCTCGTTTTGGTGCACCCTCACCACCCCAATCCAACCCACTCCTCTGCCACCTAGTGACTCACCTGAGCCCCGAAGAGCTCATCAAAAAAACGGGCGTCGCACAAGACCCGCCACACGTGCACCGCCGTGACGCAAGCCTCGCTGCGGATGTCCTGGCGGTTTCATCCCCGGAACGGCCGCGGCCTTGGAAGGTCGAGCTTTTCCCTCAGTCTGAGCATGACAAACATCGGAGATAGGTGGACGAACTTAGGATCGAAGTGGCCTGGGAGAACCAAAGAACGAGTTGACCAGTCAAAAAAACAGCAGTGTAGAGAGAATCCTTGCACTACAACATCTGGTGGACACCTGGCAAAGCAACATTAACCCTGTCCTGGTCTAGGTGTTGCACGCAACTTGCGTCCTGATGATAGAAGCGACTGGGACGACAAAGGGGGGCGACAGTGAAAGCGAAGCATCAACAAATGCGCGGGGTGTTAGAGGAGAACGAGGAAGTTGTGATCCAACATGCGAGGGCAAACTCGCGAGTGACAATGTAGGCATCTCATGTTCCATCACCAATCATGGAGATCATGGAGAAGCTTGCGAAGCTTGGAAAGGACCGGATGCGGTGACATTGAAAACAAGATACACAGGCATTTGGGCTTAAAAATCATCAAGAAGAAACACTGCTGGCCACATGAATTCCGACAATTTCCGTGCCCCCGCACACGGATGCCGACCCACATCGAAACGAACCGTGTCACCATCGACACGAACCAAGACACATCCACGTCGAAGGCGCCAGCGCAAGGTCCCGGCGAAGGATGATACTTGGCCGATTTGCCTTGACGCCATTCCTTCATCGCGTGAGATGATTGGCAGAGTGCCCAACGGAGCACAACGGGTGAACCAGACGGTTCAAGTTCATGGAGCATACACAAACACAATCTGCAAACCAACTCTTGTATTGTTTCCTCCTGCTTTCTCCACATGAAAATGTATCAGGATGTCTTCAACCATGAAGGTTGCTGCAACACTTCTGACGTCATTCACCCCTTCGGCGTCCAGCAGACGTGGCAAGGCCAGGTTTGCAAAGGCCTCGTGACACGCTGGCGGAACGCAGGCCTCAGTGAAGTGGTCGAGATCTCTCGTGCCAACATGGGACGACACTGTTTTGAAGGCTAACTTCAATCGACGTCTAGGTTCACCCTGGAATCCATCATAAATGATCGCTCATGATGATTATTAGCTTCCATGCAAGTGTCACATTTCCGCTTAACAGCCTTTTTCACATCACTCTCTTCATTCTAGGTTGTGTAATGTTCCTAGACAAGGCGCACCCACCGGTATCAGCTCTCGCCAGTCGCTGCTCCTTGCCACTTCTGGTTGCGCAGCCACCTGGGGTTGTCACCCAAAGCCGATGCACTCCACCCTAGTAGCAATGGCCTCCAACCTACTGGCGATGGCCTCCAATCTACTAGCATTACTAGCAATGGCCTCCACCCTAACAGTAGTAGCCTCCATGGTCGCCTGTATCGGAATGCCGCCCAGATGCCACCAAATAACGCGGGCTTAGCAAGAGCTCCTGCGCCACGAAAACCCCGAGTCGGACGACCGAAATCTATATAGCTGGCCAAAGACCTAAAATGACTCGGCAAAGACCTCCATCACATGCTTGGAAGCAAACCATGCCACCCCACGGCTGTGACTGCAACCAATCCTGGGTCCTCGAACTGCAAACCTTCTGGGCAGCGCGAGGCCTCCGGACCTCCCCCAGAGCCCTCGCTCGGCAAAAGCCCCGCCGATGGTTAGGGACCAGGTTCCGAAAGCGGTGGCGCCATCTCCGCTGCCAATCGGGCTGTGACACATGAAAAAAGAGTGGGCACCACCCAAAAATCATGATGGCAAAAACCGGTATAGAGTCCCAGGGTCCAACCCTCGGCAGATTCGTGGCTGAAGCAGGTGGGAAGTCTATCCAGCGTATTGACTTCTAGTGACTTCTGCTGGAGAGTACGGGCGCAGCCCCCATGAAATAGGAAGATTGATGTATACTCCTTCATCTTTTGATGGCAGCGGGTCATTCGCCCAAACACCTCCATTGCCTCCGGTCCGCTTTCTCGTTTGCCCTTGCCCCGCGTGGATCCCCTCCATCGGCACGCCAGGCGGCTGAAAGAACGCTCCTGAGCAAAGGTTCAGAAATGGGATGTCTTCAAATGGTACAGGTTGATTAGGATATATATATATATTAATTAGCATGTTTAATTCTATAGATTTCTATAGTATAGGGTGTGTGGATCTGGACATGCAAACATTGCATTGCCAGTGCCGGTGTGGCACTCTCGTTGCCATCAGTCGAAGCATCTCAAGAATGAGAGGTCTAGCTTCGCCTACCGGGACAAGAGCTCCATTTCATGCAGATCAGCGTCAGGTGGCATGCCAAAGATCAAAGTCTCCAACAAGCCACTCGCATGCCCTCCAGCAGCATCTAAAGCCAGCGAACATCGGGCGAACTGCCTGGCCATAAAGCAGGACTCTCACTCATGGTCCGTGGTTGGAGCCTTGCCCATGTTATTCTCCAAGACGGGCAGTGGCCAAACATACCGGAAGGGAACACCTTGTTTCAATTGTGCAGATATATACTTTGGCCAGAGGTCAATAGACTCAATAGACAAGAGTCAGGGGACCACAGAGTTCAAGCATTCTTGTTTTGCTAGACTCTGACAGGTCTTCCACACCACCATAGAACCACGCGAGATGGGCAAGACGTTCCATCCAACGAGCACACTGCATGGAAGCGGAAAGACCCCTCCTCCCTCCGGATCAGAGGGGTGAGGATCGAACTCGCACGGCGCATCAGGCAAAAGGAAACCAACCTACCGGGCTCGGGGAACTCCAGAGCTCCTCCGGAGCTCCTCGGCTCACTGTTCGGGGAATATGGACATCTCCGTGACGACCCAAGCTGGCTCGCTCTACCTCCTGAGCGGTCAAGAACCTCATCTTCCCATGGCACTATGGACCATGTTCCAATTCCTTTGGGGAAAAGACTCGCGGAAAAAAACCCCGTCGAGTCTTAACCCTCGCATCCACTTGGAACGTTCGCATCCGTTGTTCGATCTCGTCGCCCGGCGATCGGGTCGTTCCTGGGCACCGAGTCCACAAAGCCGGAGCTCAGGTCGAAGTCCTGAGATCACCGTTGCAACCATAGGAAGGTTGGTCCATCTGATTGGCAAATGGATCCACATGATCAAGCTATATATCCAAATAGATTTAGGAACTGCCTGAACCTCGTTGTATTTCGCCATGTTTTACCGTAACAGCTGCCTTCGAATGTTTTCAACCAACCTATGGGACCATCATGGGAACTTGGACTTGGGCCCTTTATCATCTTTGAGAGACATACCCTTGGTCTTCGCGCAGCGCGTCTTAATCTGCCTCCCTGGGCCCTTGTCGGGGCCCTTCTTCGCTTCTTTGCCTCCTATCACGAGAAACCATCCATAGGTCCATAAGCAATTATATGGGCTGGTGCCATATGATGGAAAAGCCTCTGTAGCACTCATCATTCCCAAATCCCCTTTCTAACAACACAACGAGGATGCTAAGGATGCTTGTATAAATCTTGTCCCATCAAGTCGAGGATCGTCATCTCGCGGCAATGGTGCCCAGGAGCAGGTTTCAGGTGGCAGGCCGTCTGCTGCGACCAGCTGCGCAAGCTGTGCAAGCCATGAGCTCGTGAGAATCATGCATTAAGGACCCAAGACAAATACCATGAAGTAATGACCTATGAGGCGGACGTTGGGAAAGAACCGGACCGGGTGCAACATCCTCCCTGGCGATGGGGACAACGGATTCAGGGCGATTGGTGTGTTTGTCAGGGTGTAGCTTAAAGGATCCCTGCTGATTGACAATAGGATGCATGAAAATCAAGTCTAAACATGAGCCACATATATAATGTTTAGCAAATTTTAGTTATATAGGTTTTCCACATTGCAGTCAACATGAGTTCAGCATAGTTCAGCAACCTTTCTAATAAATACCTATAAATACAGTGAAAACACGCAGGTCTCCTGGACACGTATCTCTGACTCTTCTTTTTTCTCTGTCTTGCTCAGCATGGCCTTCTTGAGCCTGCGTTTGTGTAGGGGCAGGCCAACAGTAAGGTTCTTCTCTTTCAACATGCCGCCTGACAACTCAAGGCGCGATGAGCGACCTCGGGACGCTGTATATCAGTATATCCCATCAACCCAAATACAAACTTGTTGGCAGAAAAGATGTGGTCTCATCGTGTCGACAAACAAGCAACGTAGAGACAATGGACTCTACATCTCCACTAATTGTGGCACGGGGTGCCGTGGTCTTCCCAATGTCCCTTTCAAGCCCACTGTTCCCCCCAAAAGGGTGCATCCGGTCATACAAGCATGGTACGAGTATTTGGACGCACTAGAGCCAGTAGGGCCCCTTACACGCTCCGCATCACACGTTTTCAATCGCTTGACCAACTAGTGCCAATTCATATGCAAGATTACGGGCTCCGTGTCCCCTTTGAAGACAAAGGACCCGCAGAAACAATCTTGCCTCCCTCTCGTCGAAGAATTGGACGCAACGCCACAAGGTGAGTAGCATGATGCACCAGCAGATCCCTCAAACACCAAAGAACAGCTCATATACGGCTAAGAAGGGCGCCAAGCAACATCCCTGTAACATCCCCGATCAGGACTCCCCAGGGTAACGATCTATGCAATGGTCCCAATGGTCCTATCTATTATCATGCGGGAGTTCCGAACGGAGCGGCTTGAGATTCAGACTGCAAGGCGATGCCTTGCATCGATCTAAAGGAAGAAACCTGCTTTCAGGAGCCACAACGGGTTGCTTTGAGTAGATGGAACCTTCTGCATCTTCTTGCGCAAATAGATGCAAATAGCATATGAGATCATGTGAGCATGTATGAGCACTGAGAAGCACCTCAAAAAGCCTTCCCTTTGTGAACCCCTGAGAGTCGAAAAATTGACATGCAACCTAAATCGAACCCAGATCCTCTACATCATGGTACAGCCGAATTCGAACCTCTGGAAGTCCTCACAATCGTCCTTGATCCTTTGTCAGACTCTTGAGGGACTCCTTGCAGGAGTCTAAGGGCCCCACTCTGCGCCGAAGCAACGGCTGCCGTCCAAAGAACCCTTGGGAAGGTCCCGTAATTGGCGTGTTGTGTGTCATAGTGTCACAGTTCTTGGCTGCTGAAGCAGGGAGGACATGTGTGCAATGATGCCAAAATGGTGGGGCCAACGCTGACTGCACCATATTTTGCACAATTACTCAGTTGGATGGCCAACCAAGGTGTGGTCCCCTGTTCCCGGCCTACATCTGCCTACCCAATGTAGCACCATTGCCGTGGGCAGGTCCTTCAGTTCCTTGATTTCCTTCACCAGCTCTTCCTGCGAGAGCACCTCGTAGCTTCCCCTAGACTCACCTGGCCGCGGCCGACCCAGATTCGGGAGATAGTTATGAGTGGATGACGCCCAACGCTCCAAATAGATTCATCTCTTACTATCTTACAGGGTGCAGTGTCGGAGGAACTTCAGGGTGATTGAGACATCAAGGAGACAAGTTTTGAGCAGCGTGCCCACTGCGACACTTTTGTCTGGCCCTGCGGCACTGGAGTCTTCTCTGATCCAATTTCGGACAAGACATGTGAATGATTGTGAATGCAATTGGAAAGCACATGTGCTTGCCAATTGCAGTCACCCCCTCAAAAATACTTTGCTTCCAGTGATCCCCACCATGACATTTCAATCATTTGTCTTGATGCCATAGTGAGGAGCATGTTGCCATGGTCGTGAGTATTGTAGTTCTCGATTTTGCTTGTGGGTCCTCGGGTTGTGTGCTGTGGTTGTGTTGTGTGGCTGTGGTTGTGTGCTGTGTTGTGGTTGTGGTTGTGTTTGTGATTGTGTGTTTGTGGCTGTGTGTTTGTGATTGTGTGTTTGTGGATGTGTGTTTGTCTCTGTGTGTTTGTAATTGTGTGTTTGTGGTTGTGTTTGTGTTTGTGGTTGTGTTTGTGTGTTTGTTGTTGTGTGTTTGTGGTTGTGTGTTTGTGGTTGTGTGTTTGTGGTTGTGTGTTTGTAGCTGTGTGTTTGTCGTTGTGTGTTTGTCGTTATGTGTTTGTGGTTGTGTTTGTGGTTATGTGTTTGTGGTTATGTGTTTGTAGTTGTGTGTTTGTTGTTGTGTTTGTGGTTGTGTGTTTGTGGTTGTGTTTGTGGTTGTGTGCTGTGGTCGAGGTCCGGCAGGGAACACTGGGCGCGGATGGTCGTGGTTGAGGACCGGCGGGGAACACTGGGAGTGGATGGTCGTGGTTGAGGTCCGGCAGGGAACACTAGGCGTGGATGGTCGTGGTTGAGGTCCGGCAGGGAACGTGGATGGTCG